CCTTTCCTCCCAGAAAGGGGCTGTCCCCGCTACTCACCTCTGAGATGCTTAGCCTTTCCAACCCTCAGTCTCCTCATCTGTCAAATGGGCTCCCTAAAGTCTGCAGTACAGATTGCCAGGGGCTTGAAGGGAACTGCTTTATAGACAGGATGCTGGGCACACAACAAGGAATCTGTCACCAACAAGAGCTACATGGGGCTTCTCAGGAACCTTTACCAGCATTGTATTAGGAACATTTTCAAGCACACAGGAAAAATTAAAACTTTTACAAGGAACGTACAAATACACGGTATCTGGAATCTATTTTGAACATCTTACTGTTCTTTCTTTATCACCTATTTCTCTAACCATCCAACAATCCGTTTAATTTTATTATGATGAATCTTAAAATCCTGAAATATTTCTATTACGATTTTCAAGGACTCAGTTTATACCAAGGGTTATTTCCCTCTAAGTACTGGGGACTGAACCCATGGCTGTGCACGTACACAAGGGCCCTACCACTAAGCTGTATCCCCACCCCTTTATTAAATTTTTATTTTGAGATAGAGTCTTGCTAAGTTGCCTAGGCTGGCCTTGAATTTGTGATCCTCCTGCCTCAGCCTTCTGAACAACCAGGATTACAGTTCTGCACAACCATGCCTGGCTCCACATGCTATTTTTGAGCACTGTTCTCAGTTCATTCCATCCATGCATCCTTACTTCAATTCTCTAAAATATATCAAGTGTGCAGTATGGTAGGTTTGCCCTCATTATACAGATGAGGAAATTGAAACAGAGAGAGGGAAAGGACTTGTAGCTACTAAACGCTTGGAGTTGAATTTGAACCTGGGCCATCTGACTCCAAAGCCCTGGCTTTTTATCCATTAGTGCCATCTCTCTTCTCAGATTGGGTGAAGTGAACCACACAATGGGATATTGGGATAACATGAGCCAGTGTGAAAGAATGCCTAGGGAAGTCCAATAAAAATAACATTGGACTTTGGTGTAATCATGGTTCAACACAAATCCTATGTCTAAGAAGAGAGTGCTCCGGCAGGGCCTGCTGATACAGGTTGCAATCCCAGCCCTCTGTGAGGCTGAGGCAGGAGGGTCTCAAGTTCAAGCTTAGCCTGTGCAGCTAAGTGACTTAGCAAGAGTCTGTCTCAAAATAAAATACAATAAAAAAGGGCTGGGAATGTATCTTAGTGGGAAAGCCCTGGGTTTAATTCCAAGAATGACCAAAAAAAATGTCCTTCAAGGAAGGGTAACTACTGATAAATAAAATTTGCTGTGAATAATTGCAGCTGTTATTTACTTAACCCTTTCCCTGCGTCTTGCCATGTGTTGCATAGGCTGTTTCTCTTCAAGCACTTTTGAGGGTAGCACTGCTATACCCATTCTAGACTCTCGGCCACTGAAGCTAAAGTCAAGCGCTCACCCAACATTACCTACCCAAGAAATAGCAGAACAGGCTTCAGACCCAGCATTGTCAGTTCCCTGGGCCACTAAACCTTCCCAGCTGTGGGGCTGGGGATTTAGCTCAGTGGCACAGTGCCTGCCTGCCAAGTGTGAGGGCATGAGTTTGGTTCCCAGTACCAGAAAAAAAAGAAAAAAAAAAAACATCTTCCCAGGTTTACCTTCTAATTTTTCAAGATATTACTTTCATAATGGAAGGTAACTTTTTAAAAAGTGAAGTCTCTTGAGGAACAGGCTCATTTATCTTTATTTCATTAGCCATTACTTTGATAAAATTCAAATCCTTACCTCACACCATACACAAAAACCAGTTCCAGATAGATTGCCAATCTAAATGGAATGCAAAGTGACAAAGCTATTGAGAAATACCATAAGAGAAAATCAGTCTTCTTTAGAAGTAGACAAATATTTCCTAAATAAGATGTAGACAATCACTATCTATAAAGGAAAAGACTGATCAATTAGACTATGCTTATTAAGACCTTTTGATCATTAAAAAAGGAAAAACTCTACAAAGAGAGGAAAATGAAGCCATAGAGATGTCCATACAACTGACAATGGCTTGATTTCAGAATGCATAAAAGGCAAATCCATTTAAGAATGGACAACCCCCCAAAATAAAAATAGACAACACAATAGAAGACAAGCAAGATGTGTTCTTGAATAAACAAATCACCAAAAAGGACACCCAAAAGGGCAATGCCTAAATGATAAGATATGCTACTTTATTACTCACCAGAAAAATGCAAATGAAACTCCAAGAAGCTACTACTACACGCCCACCAGAATGACTAGAAATGAAATGCCTGACAACGCCACGTGCCCGTGAGGATCTGGAACAATGGAAATGTTCCACGATGGATGGCGGGAGGAGAATAATGATTAAACCACTTCGGAAAACACTTTGGCAGGATGGCCCATCTACCCAAGAGGAATGTGTAGACACGTTCCCCAACAAAATAAGCACTAGAAACTGAAGAGTGGCGCTATCTGCAAGAGCCAGAAAGGGGGAGGCGACTCCAATAATTTCTATTGACAGTTGACCGAGAAATAAATCATGGTGTGTTTACACAATGAATACTACTTGGCAGAGAGAAGGAATGGGGTGCATTTATCTGCCCAGCCCAGATGAATTGCATACTGGTAATGCTGAGTAAAAGAAGTCAGATACAAGAGTTCAATACTGCACATTTCTATTTGCATCATATGCAAAAAAAAAAAAAGTGAAAGGAAAGTGCTGTGTACAGGAGATGTACTTAGGTGTTAAAACCAAGGTTGGGTCAAGGTCAATAAAGTAGTCCCTTCATGAGAGGGTAGCGCCTGGGGAGGGGCAGAGGGGGTTCGGGGAGAGCTGGTGAGAGACTGACGGTTACACTGTGAGTTCTCCTTGTCATGTGCATTAAGTGGAACACGAGGTGTTCTGTACCTTCCTGTAGGTTTGTCAGATTGCCGCATTTTAAAAAGTTTAGTTTAAAAGTGATCAGCCGCTGACGGTCCTAGGTTCCAAAGTGCGCGGGGCGGCTCATGGGAGCATGACGACAAGCGGGAGGGATGTGTAGGGCCCCTGCTCTGGGCCAGGCACTGCTGTCAGTGCTTCACGTCCGTCATGGAGTCTAATCCTCCCAACGACCCTCTGAGATAGTTACTGCTGTTACCCTCGCTTAGCAGAAGGGGAAACTGGCAGTGCAGTGAAATCCCTTGCCTCTGGCAGGCAGTGCGCCAGCTAGATTTAAACCAGGCTCTCTGGCTCTGTTCACCCCCCAGGGTCCAGCAGTCCCTGAGCCGTGAGTCCCGATCTGCCGGGAGGGTCCGACACAGCCGATCTCCGCAGGCCGTTATAATTTGGGGTTGTGCATGGAAAACGGGGCCCACATGAACTGGGATGGGAACAACTTCTTTCCTCGTTTGCTTTTATTGCCTTTTAACGCAGGAGTCCTTGAAAACGTGGTCTGGAAAGCGTATAGATCTCCCAAGATATTTTCCCCGGGGTTAATGAGGTCAGTACTGGTTTCATAGGAATATTAAGATTAAGTTTTGTCCTTTTGACCTTCCAAAGGCTCTGGAACCGTCATCACTGATGACGTGTACATGAAGTGTATATGATGACGGCTAATGGAGTGTACATGTGTTTTTAAAAACACCTCCGTTTTATTTTCCTACATGGTAAACAGTAATAGACATACTCCACATATAGAAAACCTCATACTTTTTAAGAATGAAACTTTCGGGAACCGCTTCTGTAATTAGAATTTAGCACATCCTTCTGTTAGGAGAAGCCCAACAGATCACAGGATATTAGCAGCTGTGTCATGAAGAGAAATTACAGATGTTTTCAAATCTTCATTACAATCATTAACCTTCCATACCCTCATCAAAACTTCAAAGTTAGGGGCTGGGGATTTAGCTCAGGGACACAGCGCTTGCCTGGCAAGTGTGATGTCCTGAGTTCGATTCCCAGCACTGAGAAAAAAACCAAAAACCAAAAACAAAACCAAAACAAAAAAAACTTCAAAGTTACTTTACTTTTTTGCATCTGGCACTGGACTTCAGCTTAATGCATTAATAAAGAGCACATGCATCACTGTATCACATATTTGTTTGAAAAATCTTGGTCTGTAGTTTAGTAGCGTGGGTTTCTTTTGTAATTCTGTGCGTTTATTTTATGCATGTAAGAGCAGGACCCTGAGAGGGGGCCTCCTCAGCTTGCTACAGGTGTCTTTAGCACAATAACAGTTAAGAAACCTCGATTCTGGAAGACTACCAGAAAAGATTAAAATTAGGAAGGTGGTATCATGCTGGCCACTGTAGTGGTGGACGAAAGGAACTTGAATTTGACTGAGAGCAGCTTTTGCTGTCTTTGAAGATGCAACAGAGACTTGGAGGTTGCTGGGGACCACTACAAACTGGCTCTGAGCAGGATTTAATATTAACCATTGGGCTTTCTGTGTTTACTTGTGAGTTGTCTGAAGCTTAGGCACCTTGTCTGACAAGATAAGGCGGCAACTGAGGAGGTCTGGCTCCAACCCCAATTAACTACAAGGAGACTGCAGCTGTAGGCTCCACACTGCTACAATAAATACCAACCTAAAGATAAGGTAGTTCTCTTGGTTGACATAATTTATTACTTGGGAAAATTCTCCCAAGGTCCTGCGAGATTCCCCCGTTTTCTTGAGTATCCTCCTCCTTTGCTTGGAAACCTAATAAATACAGGCTGCCCAGAGCAGTCTTTGGCTAAACTCAGAGAATGCTGAAGCTGTAAGAGAGTGAGTCCCTCCTGGAGCCCTAAAAATCATTTCCACTGTCTGATTTATTTAAGCCTTCTCCGTCCACTCGCTTGGGAGATTGCGGGCCTGATCAGCCTGCAATAACTTAGGGTTATTTAACCCAGTTTTCGGTAGGAGGGAGCGGTGAAACCCACGCAGTGCAAAGGCTCATCTGAGTCCCTTCCACCCCAACGCCAGAACTCGGCGTCCTCCACCGGCGGAAACATCAACGTACAAAGTCAAATCGTGTGGTCGCTGTACCTACGGACAGGAGCGGGGAGCACATGAAAATCGACACCCCCGGACCGCCCCTGCCGCCCATCGGGAGCCCCAAGCATACTTCGTCGCAGTCACCTCAACGCTGAACAGCGCAGCAGGTTAACGGGGAAGATTCCCCCTCGCGCTCACCCGGAGCGCAGGACAGCGCGCGCTAATAATAATAAGACAGCTCCCCTCGCTCGGGGCCAAGCGGCAGGAAGTTTGATGCGCGGACGCATTTCATCCCCGCCACAGCTGGCGGAGCAGCACTGTCACCCCTTCGTTTTCACAGGTGAGAAAACAGGGGTGCGGGGAGGTTGAGTAACCCGCCCAGGCGCGCGGGCCGTAGTCATTTTGCTTTTATGTTCTCCGGATGCCCAGGGGGCCCTGAGGAGGAGTTTTGGATTAAGTTTGCAAGGAGGAAGGAAGGAGGAAGAGCTACCCGGAGATCACGACGCCGGCCGGGTTCGGGGATGGGACTTTCCCGGGGGTCCGCGCACCTGGGTGTGCGGAGATGCGGCGCCGGCGCGCGTGGCCTGGGGCGCCGCAGCCTTACCTGTCCGCTGCGCGCTCACCTGGCGTCCCGCGGGGAGGTGGCGGCCGAGCACCAGGCCCTTCTACGGCCCCCTTCCTGCGCCCCACCCTGGGGAGGGGGGCGGACCGGTGGGCGTGGGGCCCCCGGGACCGGCCCGACCTGTGGGACCCGGGGCCCCGGCTGTCTGGGGAGCCCGTCACCCCGAGGCAGCCTGTCCTTCCGGGGCTGGCGGCTGTGGGCGGCGGGAGCCTCGGCGCCTGCAAACTCATAAATACTGCGGCGGCTCTCATGGCCGGGACGCGGGCTGGCGGGCGAGCGAGCGCGGCCGGCGGCCCC